TTGCCATGTGGTACACTGAAAAATTGCAATAGCAGGCTCGTCATCAAAGATTGTTGACTGTCATCTCGTTTGTGGTACTATCCTGAAATAAACAGAGCTGTGCTACAAATATATAAAGATCTTTGAAGTTTCCGAAATATCTCGGGAGTTTTCTTAAGTTCTCTGGAGCAAGGTTGCAAATACTCATTTCAGCTAAAACAATGTTTTTTTTTATGAAATGATTAGATGCTATGATCATATTTTGAATATGTAAGGTACACTGAAACATCCGTTTACGAAGTCTTTTTTTACGCAGTATTCAATTTACGTCCCTCTTTTAACGAGGTTTTTTTTACGAAGTAAATTCCAAATAACGAGTTTTCTTTTTACGAAGTAAATTCCAAATAACGAGCTTTTTTTGTGATTTTGGGAAACTGGGGTATACTGTGAAATACCTCACAATATGGGTATTGTTGGAATCGGAGTGACGTGTAGGGACCGGAAATCAATGTCTGACGCCATTTTGAAATCCAAGATGGTGACTTCCGGTTACAGAAAAACTTGGAAATTCTGCCAAATACCCCACAATATGAGTAGTTTTTAAATCGGAGTGACGTTTAGGGACAGAAAATCGATGTCTGACGCAATTTTGAAATCCAAGATGGCGGCTTCCGGTTACAGAAAAATTGGCAAATACCACCACATCATCCCGATTCTTAAGATACCCATATTGTAGGTAATTTAACATTATTTTTATCAGAGTTGGTTGGAAATGCTAACATGAAGCTTTAGTGTGATGATTTATTAGCTAGAGAATGATCTTTAGAAGAGGGTAGGTGGATAGTTCCGTTAGAGTACGGCAGTATGAAAATTGAATAGAAGTTGAAAATGAGCGAAGGGCCATTAAAGCGACAGTTTTCAAGATAGACGCACGGATTATTTTTATGTTTTTATGTAACCGGAAGTCGCCATATTGAATTTCAAAATGGCGTCAGACATGGGTTTTCAGTCCAAATAAGTCACCCCGATAAAAAAAAAACCCATATTGTGGCGTATTTGACAGTATTTCCCAGTGTTTCTGTAACCGGATGTCACCATCTTGGATTTCTAAATGGCGTCAGACATGCGTTCTCGGTTCTCACAGGTCACCCCGATTCCAAAAATATCCATATTGTTGTGTATTTAACGGTATTTTTGTTTTCCTCTAACCGGAAGCCGCCATCTTGGATTTCAAAATTGCGTCAGACATCGATTTCCGGTCCCTACACGTCACCCTGATTTTTAAGATACCCATATTGTGGGGTATTTAACACTATTTTTCTGTTTTTGTGTCACCGGAAGCCGCTTGGATTTCAAAATGGCGACAGACATCGATATTCGATCCCTAAACGTCACTCCGATTAAAAAAATACCCATATTGTGGGTATTTGACAGAATTTCGAAGTTTTTCTGTAACCGGAAGCCGCCATCTTGGATTTCAAAATGGCGTCAGACATCGATTTCCGGTCCCTACACGTCACCCTGATTCCAAAAATACCCATATTATGGGGTATTTGACAATATTTTCAAAAACCTCGTTTTACGAAGTAAATCCCATATAATGAATTTTCTTTTTACGAAATAAATCCCAAATAACGAATTTTGTTTACGAAGTAATACCGAAATAACGAGGTTTTTTTTTACGCACTAATTCGATTTACGTACGATTGGTTCGTAAATGGAGGTACCAGTGTACAAGAAGAGGTTGCAAAGAATGTGTTTGACATATTTAACCTGTTTATTTCACTTCATGAGAGTCACAATCAGCGATTTTTCACACACTCACTCAGCGATCAGAAAATCACTGATTGTGACTCATAGAAAGCAAAATTTACCGATTTTATGTTTCAAACGCACACTGTGTAACCTCTTCTTGTAAGTTACAAGTAAAACATGTAATCATACCATCTTTTGGTTTTATTATTCCAAAAAACATTATTTTAGCTGAAATGAGTGTTTGCAACCTTGCTCTGGAGTTCTCTGAACTTTATTAAAATTATTGGATCTTTTTAAGAGTTCTGGAAGATTTTCTGAAGTTTATGGAATTTACCTGAATTTATCGGACCTAACGCTTACAGATCGTCAAACTTCCCTGGAAGTCTGCACTTTTTTTTTAAGTTCTCAGAGCTGAATTTAAAAAAAAAATAGTAGTTGGAGTTTGGCGACGTTGGAATTGGAATATGTTATTTGGAGAATTTGAAATTGGCATTTGAAGAAATTCTTAACAGAAAATCGTAATGGAAAATCTGAATGGAGTTTATTTTTAAATTTTGAGGATTTTGAATTTGGTATTTAAAATTTCATAAGTTTGGAATTTGTAATTTGGAGGATTTTCAAATTCAAATTTGGAGAATAAGAAAAATTTTAAATTTCAAATTCAAATTTGAAAAATAACAGGAATTTGCAGAATTTTGCATTTGGTACTTGGAGCGTTTGAAATTTGAAATTTGGAGGGTTTTTATTATATTTGAAATTTTGGAATTTGAGAGGTTTTAAATTTGGAATTTGGAGGATTTGGCATTTGGAGAATTTGGTATTTGGATTTTGGAATTTCGAGAGCTTTAATTCAAAACGTGGAATTTGAAAAATTTAGAATTTTGTAGAATTTGGAATTTTAAATTTGAAAAATGGAATGGAAAATCGAAACGGAGAATCGGAAAGGAAATGGAATGGAAAATCGGAAATGAATTTTATTTTGAAGAGTTTTGAATTTGGAATGCAAAATCTGAAAAAAAGCTTGAAATTTGGAGAATTTTGTATTGAGATTTTTAAATTTGGAGCGCTTTGAATTTGAAGCTATGAATGTGAAGAATTTGGAATTTGGAATTTGAAATTTGGAATATGGAATATGGAATTTGAAATTTGAAATTTAGAATTTGAAATTTTGAATTTGGAATTTGAAATTTGCAATTTGGAATTTGGAATTTGAAGATTTTAGAATATAGAGATTGGAAAATATGGAGAATTTGGAGAATTTTCATTTGGCATTTGAAGAATTATATACTTGAAATTTGGAGAAAGTGGTTATAAAACTTTGAATTTTAAGATTTTTTTAGTTGAAGAATTTGGTATTTGGAGAGCTTTGAATTTTTTTGTTCGTAATTTAGCATTTATAACTTGGAAAAAGTGAAATTATGGTAAATTTAGAATAGTAAATTTATTTGGAGAATTAATGATTAGGAGTATATTGAAATTGTAATCGAGAATTCAAAAAATTTCGAGTTTGGAATATTGAGAATTTGGAAAATTTAAATTTGGAATTTCAACAATTTGGAATTTAGAGAATTCGAAATTTATTTCTAAATTAGTATTTGAAGCGCTTTGAATTACAAATATGAATAATTTAGAATTTTGAATTTTGAATTTGGATGGTTGAGAATAATGGAATAATATTGAGAAATTTTAATAATGGAATAGGTTTTTTGAAGAACATTGCAATTTAAAAAAAAAAAACGAATGTGGAATTTGGAGAATTTAGAATTAAGCGTTTGGATAAATATGAAGAAATTGGAATTTGAAGAATTTGAATTCCTAATTTTAAGCTCTCCCATTTGAAAAATTGTGCAAATTCGAATTAGAAAATTTTCCAAATTTCAAATTTCAAATTCATGAAATATGTAAATCCATATTCAAAAACCATCATAAGCATTTTTTATGCTTCCTTAAAATAAAAATAAGGTTTAAGGATCGCATAAATTAGGTCTCGAAGAATCAGTATTACAGTCGCCCGCTTGTTTTTGACATTGTCTGTTTCACCTCAACGTTTACGTTCGTTTTCCTGACGGTTTGTTTCTATAGATCTTTTGCAGTTTGTTGGATTCCAGATAAATTCATGTGCTGTGGTGTTTTCGCTTAATTTTCATGCATTTCGATCTGGAGCAATTCTCTGTCGAATAAGATTCTCCGATTTTTATGAAACTTTCAACATGTCTTCAGCATGGGCACGAGACCATCTTCCAACGACCACGACCATTTTGACTCAAGACTTTCTTTTGAAAAGGGCCTGTGTAATTTATCATATGAATTAATCAAAAAAAACTACAACGGACAGCCCTATGGGGTTGTACGCAATGGTGACGTAGAACTATCTGGTCTTATATCTAGATAGAGCTGGAATTTTGGCGTAACAGCTTTTGTAAACAATAGCTTCTCTCGCATTTGAGCGGGGTTCTCTCTGTTTATACTCTTTAGTATGACGAGCTTGGCATAGTTTGCCCACAGAAACTCACGAAGAACTACTGATTCCCATCAATAGCGGTGCGGCTTCTTCTTCTTTCTTTGGATGCTCATTTGGGCTGCAGCTCGTTGCTTCCAGACAGCCCTTCGTTGTATACTGGAGAACACAACCACTCACCACGCTGTGATTGAATAAACACCGTTTGGTGAGACCGGATGCAATTCAACTTTGAAATCTGTGTTAGGGAAATCGCTTTTCACAAGCAATCGGTGCTCATAGCAACAGTTGCACATTCGTGCAATTTTCAATAGTGACATTTTGAAAAATGATAACGTCTTAAATTTCTACAGATGCGTAGAAATATATCTGATCGATTGGTGATAAAATTATTGAAATTGGTCCCGGGGCAGTTGAGTTATTGGCGTTCAAACTCTTTCATAATTTTGTTACCTGTTCCATTTTCGGTTTTCACAAAGTGTACCCCCAAATAGAAATCACAGACGTAGTCCTACGTCAAAATTTAACTATAAAACGGTTTATTGAATCAAAATTGTTTCTGAGAAAAAGTCGTAGAGAATTGATTGGACCTTAAAGGAAAAAAATGTAAACTGAAAACAAACATTCATTTTGTTATCCGCCTTTGCTCGGGTTGCCCCTAAACCACCGGCACCGTCGTTCGATGAATATGCTTGAAACCCCCCCTCCGATCCATGAACAATAGTTAGGTAATTCGATGCGCTGAGTGCGCATTTCGAATTGCATTCCAAAAGCAAACTTGCCATGTCCACTCAAATCCCCGAGAACCTTTCTGGATGGACACAATCGCATTGTACCTTCACGGACCAGTACCCATACTTATCGCGTTACCCCGTCGTACAATTTAAGGAGCTTTTCTTTCGCGCGCAAATTTATCTCCTCCGAGAACAGAATTGACAGCAACAGCTACACTGGTCCCTACTGTCATCGCCAGTACTGGTAGCAAACGAACGCAAAAAAAAGTAATCCTCGTTAAATCCGATGAGATTATAAAATGAAATTTTATGCAAATAGCATTCACACACCCACAGCTCCCCTTTCTTCGGCCCAAACGAACGAGGTGTCTCATTATGGGACTCAACCGGGGTAACCCTCTTGTCCTTCTACTTGTTTCTTTACTTTTGATCCCTCCAGAGAACGAACCCGAACCCCAATTTCTGCAGAAACTTTTTATGTTTTGCTTCAGAGGAATCATGTGGCAAGGAAAATGCAATTAGGTGAGCTGTTTATGAGCGCAAACCCTACATTCGAGGAACAGGTGAAGTCTGAGAACGAAGCAGTTTCTAAAGCATGGTTACTCTAGGTCGAGGAAATTGTTTTTCATGTATGAAATTTGCCGCTCTCTACAGTTTTGAAGCTCCGACGGAAAACCCCTTGCGAAAACGGTATCAATTGACTTGTCGAGCAAGGTACAAGCGTGTGCGTGTCAGGCGACTAGTTTTGCCACTCCAATTAAATATCTTTCCAGCTGGAGTCGGCACTCGAAGGCAGGGACGGCAGCAGAGAGATGGAAATCTGGTTTAATAGTGCGAGGAAATTTTGCATAAATGTACCCAACATCTCCGAAACGGACGAAGCGTTTCAATTGATGCTGTAGACAGACACACTTAACAGACCGGAGATGGGGCACAGTTTGGCGACACCATACGAAAACCGGTCGTAATGAATTTTATTTGCTTAACAAACTTTCTAGGAAATTTGACGCTTCTGAATCCACATTTTGTGTTACACTTAATTTTGGAATTATTTTGGGTATTTTTAAAGATAATTTACTCCATTTTTAAAAATAGTTGTTCTCGCAGTTTTTACCTCGAGTTATCCAACTACCGTGTACCCCCGATAATCTAACCGTTTTAATCTGGATGCTTTTTAATTTGAACCCCGCTGATCTGCACGTCGTGCAAATTCAAAATAGTTCAAGTATCATTTAGCTCGTGGAATGGAGAAAAGCGAAATGCAACATTGTGAAACTTCAAACAAAAAAGTTAGATATATTATTTAAGAAGAAATGAGGACCACCCTAATCATCATTTTCACGAAAAGTAGGCCCATTTCAATATAAACAACATCTCCGATGACACTAACCCTCTAAAATGAATAAAAACTGCGTAATTTGTTCCCGCTAAATTGCCGTTTCGGACCACAGTGCACTGTGGGTGGAGGAACTGGATGAGTGTCCCTAAACCTTTTTGGATTAAGTCAAGCTCAAGTTAGGTGTGGGATTCGACTTTTAAAATTTATTCACTTTAATATCCAAGAATCCTAACAGCCCCACTTAAAGGCATATATCTCATTAAGGTATTTTATTTAATAAACCAACTTCACCCCACCCGGTTTCTTCTCTTCCGTTCCCTTCTTCGAATCGAGCTCTTCCAGCTCCCGCATGTACAGTTCCTCGATCAGATCCTCGATCAGTCCCTGCATCGACAGCAGGTGGCCCTTCATGTTGCCCATCAGTTGCTCCTGCTGGTCGATCTTCTCCTCCAGCTGTCGAATCTGCTGGCCCTGCTCGTTCTTCACCCTCGCCAAATCCGCAACCAACGTGTCGTTCAAAGTTTGGACCTTCCTCTCCAGCTTTCGGATCTCCCACTGCGAGTGCAAGGTTACCCAGTTGACGTAGCTATCCACGCAGCATAGACCATCAACGGCGGTCCAATTCGCAGGGCATTTTCCCAGGTCAACGAGAAAACCCACGGATCGCTCACGCAAAGCGTCCAAAAGCTTAGGCAAAGCACGACAGTTCCACTGGTTACCCGGCAGTCCCAGGTAGAGCAACTTCGGGAAGAAATCCTGTATATCAGCTCCGTTTAGGTACATCAGCAGATTTAAGCTCAAATCCAGGGTCGCTAGATTTGGCAGGTTCCACGTGCCAAAACCGACATCATGCAGTTCATTGTTGTTCAAACGAAGTTCTACAAGTTTCTCCAGCCTAACCTGGCCGTCCAGCGAGGTAATCTTGTTACCGCCCATGTCCAGTGTCTTGAGATTTGTCAATCGTTGGAAGATGTGCAAATCGATGTAGTCGATCGCGTTGTACGAGACGTCCAGCTTTTCCAGCTGTATCAGATCCTTGATGTTCGGGAGCTTACGCAGCTGATTGTGTGATAGGGCGAGCACCCGTAGATGACCATAGGACTGCTTGGAGTTTACCGTCACGACCTTGAGCTTGTTCCAGCTGGCATTCATGTGCACCACGGCAGGATTCACGTACAGCCTCTCCACTGCGCAGTTCGTGATGGTGAAGTTGATGGGAGGGTCACCGAACTCGTTGTAGAACTCGTCTTCAATTTTTGGGATATTACCATCGATCAGGTGAACAAACTGCAGGTCTTCCGGGAGCACAATTGGGCCGCCATCTTTCGAATTTAGCTGAACACCTCGTAGAATGCAAACCTCGTCGGAAGGGTCCTCGCATTCGTAGATCTTCTGCGATGATACGCTCCAGGTGAGAGCCAGAAGGAATCTGAAATAGTTTGAGCCAAAATGATCTACGGAATCGAGTGAAGAAACTTTGCAACTCACAGAAAATGGCGCAGCCAAGTCATTTCGCTTCGAGCTGCGGAAACTGTCTATTGAAATGTGCCGATCGACGCGGATTCCTATCGGTGTCGCTGCTGATAAGCCGAGGAAAACTAGTTCACAGCTGATGATGATAGTTCATCGAATCGGTCACGATGCTGCGCGGATGGCTGCAATCTCGAACTGATAAGAATTGACACAGTTAGTCTACTGTGGAAGTTGCGATTTGAATTTGCACACTGGACGAACTTGGTTTATCAATTTTTCATCATACTAGCGATAAACCAGTTTGTAAAGGCTATTTTTCACACAGACTTCCATTGGTAGTAAGCAATAAAAATACTAATATAGAAAGTTGGAAAAGTGGAAAATATACGCTTTTGATGCGTATTCTGGTTAGAATAGTTGACGACAACCTAAAGGAATCATTCATGGCTACAATTAAATAAAAAAAGTTGTTTCCCGTACATGTTTTACCCGCTTTACTACCATTCCCCAGAGAGGCTAAAAATTCAAAATTTGAGAGAGAAAATTCTCTCTCATGAGCTCAATCTCTTAACATACCATGTATTTTGATGACACTTGATTTGTGATTCCCTCGCACAGACTTCAGAATAGAGTACCTGGCACTGATAAAGTTGTCGGTCCCATTATTTATGCACTTATGCAGGCGGAAAATCCTGTTAGGGGCAGGGCTTAGAAAGTATTGTTTGTGTCGAAAATGCAAAAAGGGAGGGACTTCGGATGTAAATCTTTGCAGTGTCAGGTATTCTATTTTGTAGTCTGTGAAAGGGATTTCTAGGATTTTTGACTGAACTGTCCTCTGTAAACAGTTTATGCTTAATTTCCGATAGATGTCACCGCAAACAAGATTGTTCATTAATCGCACTTATCACGAACAGGTTTGGCGTCGCAACAAATAATACTAACTTTGCAACGTTCTTATTTTCCATTCCAACCGACCACTTCTCCGGTATCTTAGAACATCCAACCGAAGGAAGTGCCCGGAAGTGGATATCTCTACTCGAATTACGATATTTTCCACTTCAATCTCAACCGGCCAAGCTTCGATGAGCTTCCTACCGACCCAAAGTCAACCGACGCTCACCACAAAACATGGTCTTTCTTCCCAGCGGAAAATCTCGAAGCAGTCTATATGTGCTTGTAAATTAATTTACTTTCTATTTTTATGTGCCGCTCAGTTGGTCCTTACCATCGTCGTCGATTCCGGTATGCCGAGCTTAATTCTGTGGTGGAAAATTGTTATTGGCGCTGAGAATGCAATTTCATTTTCGCTTACTTGCTCTTGCTCGTGAGGATGATGACGACGACGACGGAATTGAACGAGAGTGTCTCCGAAATCGATTTGCTACTCCAAAAGGGGTACGGTGGATCTGGACAACCAATTCCTCACTTCTAGGATGTGGAGGGTGGAGGAGGGAAGATGTCGTTTCTTAGAAAACGGGGTTTGTCCCTGGCGATGATGATGGTGATAAAGAAGACAATGATTATACGGTTAGTAGGAAATTGTTCCTTAGTCGACGGTGCACGGTTGGATTCGTGGGCGGGAAGATACGTGGAAGGCTAACGCCATCATTGGGACTAACGAGAACGGTACGTGCCTGGTGAAGATCTGCACTTGGTTGGTTGGGGGCTCACTGGAATCGCCTTCAGAGTGATAGAGAGCGACCGTATCGTATGTAGTAGATTCAATTTCCATGGACGTACGCATTATACGGAGAATTCGAGATAATTACAATGGGCATTCTGGATGTACGTGGAATAGACAAAGGCGGGCCTTTGGAAATTGATACTCACGAGACGGTGAAAATCGTAGCAAATGGAAGGTTATCAATTTGCTTCTGTCACACGGTGGTTTCCTCGCATTTATTGCGGATGTCACATGGGCTAGACTTTTTCCTAATTATCGGGTGGAGCGTATGACCTGGACCAAGCAAATAGTCTTGATAGGCGATGCTATTGTGTGGCGATAGGAGAGAGGAAGTGAACCAGGTTAGCGATTGTCATTTTATATATTTATGTATTCAGTCATTCCATAGCAAAACGAAACACTTTTAAATGGTCACCCTAATGACAAAATCATTTTGCTGTGAAATGGCTGCATTAGCCTTTCTGACATCAACAAAAATTCCAACGGCTTAAGATGGTTGTGGAATTCAGTGAGAGGATGAATAAGTGAAAGAATTGGTGAGTAATAAAGAGTGAATCATATAATTTCAGTCACTGACAATCCATTACTCACTCCATAATTTCTCAAATCTCACCAAAGCGTCGTCGTCTTCGTCGTCGTTTTCAACGTCGTCGGTGAAAGATTTTAATGATCTCATCAACAACTCGATCATATGTGTGTGGTATGATATGAGGAGCTCGGTGGCCTTAGAGCGACCGCTTTTGCTTATGCAATATTAAAACGATGAAATGCGCCATGAACCATGGAATAATGCTTCTTAACTACGTAGCTACTTAGACTACTGTCCAGGCTACTGTCCTTCCCGTGTTTTTTTAGTTCGAGAAGCGCAGCGACGGGCAAGCGCCTAGATTGTGCTTTCAAAAGAAGCTTATTTTAGAATCTTCTTAAGAAGCTTCTTTTGGAAGCTTCTTTTAGCATCTTTTTCAGAAGCTTCTTCTAGAACCTTATCCTAGGCGCTTGCCCATCGCTCCACTTCTCTGACTAAAAAAAAGAGGGCCAGGACAGTAAATCTGAGTAGCTACGCAGAAAGGAGCGTCGTTTCAATAGACAAAAACCATTTTCCCGTTTAATCTCAGGCCCCTTCATAATCAAGATTCGTTAGTCCTTTGGTTCCTTTGGTTTGTTTTATCCGTCGATCTTGTTTTCCGTGCTGAGCACCAATGCTACCGACGTGCCAGGAAGGCAGCTCCCACACATGGACCCTACCTATCGACCCATCAACTCATGAACCGGGGACCAACGGCTTTACTTCCCATCCGAAGGAAGGCGTGATCAGAGATGTTATGCCTCAGAACATCCCGGCGGCGCCGACTGGGATTGAACCCAGGCCTTCTGGGGTGAGAGGTAATCACGCTTACCACTACACCACCGACGCCGTTAAGATTCGTTAGTCGCTTTCTTTCTTAACATGAACAAATCATTATGCAAACCCAACCCTATTGCGTTTGAATTTTAAAAAAGTTCTCAGAATTCCTATGAAGTTCATTGCATTTTTACTTAGTTTAAAATTTCGTTGATTGTTTGCGAAGTTCCCTGAAGTTTTACAATATTTCCTGAGTTTATGTGGAATTTTCAGCTATAATTTATTTTTAGACTCAAGTCCTCTTATGATGTTAAAGCGTCAAAATTCTCATAGGAACCGCATTGGAAAATTCCATGGAATTCCTTTAAAGCTCTCCTAATAATTCCCTTGAATTTCTTATCCGGTAACTTCCATCAAATTGTCCCCAAAAGTTTTCCTGAAATTCCAGTCAGAGCTCCTTGCAATTATCTTCAGAATTCTTTGAAAATTCTACCTCACAATTCCTATTCAATATTCCTTGGCATTCCCCAAGCTTCCTAAAATACCCGTGAAACCATGATTCGAACTCCCGAAGAATTTCTCCTCCGAATTCAGAGCATTCCATCTCAGAATTCCAATGGAGTTATTAACGTTATTTACGAATTGTTAATAAACCTTTGAATGTTCTTCTAACCCTGGAATTCTCCTTAGAATTGAATTAAGCCTCCCCTTGTTTGAATTCTTCTCAGAAATTCCCTTGGATTTTTCCTGATCATGTACCATGAATCAAGAAGAATTACATTTGAACCATTCCTTAGATTTCATTTGAAGCTTTCCTAACAATAAAAATTGAAATTTCGGTCAGAGCTCTCTTAGAATACCCATCAGAATGCCTTTGGTGTTATGCATAGAATTCCCTTTATACTTGAGTCAAAATTCTTCAGAAATTTTTCTAGAAATTCTCACGTAATGCCAAAGTCATGAAGATTGGATTATTGTTTTCAAATCAGGGATTTCGGAAAATTTTCAAAGTCCGACATCTGAATCGTCGATCCAGAATGTTGAAAATGTCTTCAAGCTTGAGTTATTCTTTTATTTCGGCCCAGGATTTTGAAAATTTTCATATTTCAGAAATTGATCAATGGTTTAGACGCCCACATTCATCAGGATTCATAATGGTTTGGATTTTTTCTGAAGTCTCACAGTCTTGGAGGTTCTTTCTAGTCCAAAATTTCAATAATTTGTCAATGCAGTTCCAAAATTTCTGAACAATTTAAACGGCCATTCCTTCTTTTTATCAAATTCGCCCAGTTCGAAAACTTTCTACGAAATTCTAAGAGAGTTCTGACTGGAATCTTCATTTTAATTTTGAGGAGAACTTCAAACGAAATTTTCAAATTAAATTCTTCTTGATTCCTGGTAAATGTTCTGGAGAAATCCAAGGGAGTTCCGTTCCGAGAAGAATTCCAAGGTGCTTCAGAGACTTTGAAAGATTTTCGATTTCGCACACTGAACAAAAAAAAGTTTTCGAGTTCGAGCCCTGAAAACTGATTTAAGACAAGCTATCTATTAACATCAGAAAACATGTTGAAACCTTTAATAAGTTCTGATTGCTAGGATTGCTGGGAAGTTAAAAGATCTTTAAGTGTAAGTAGTTTCGACAACTTCAGGACAACCTCATAGATTTCAGGAAAATTTACTTCAGTAAAGATGAAAGAGCTTCAGGGCAGTTCCATTAAATTCAATAAAATTTACAATAAATTTAAACTAGTTACCAAGTAGTAAGTTATGTGTACTTCGGGTCGGATCTGAAAATTTACCATACAGTCCATGAATATCAGGAAAACTGTGAGAACTTCAGGAACTTTCTTAGAACTTCAGGTTAGTTTCAAGATCTTTATGGCAGATCCATTAATTTCAGTTAAATAGCGGGAACCTTCAAGAAGTTCCGAAAATTTAAGGATAATCCAAAAACTTCAGGGAAACTGAAGGAACTCAAAAAAAAATAGCTACACAGAAGTTCCAAGAAGGTCATGGAAGTTCAAACAACTTCAGGGAAGTTTAAGGACCTAAGTATTTAATTTTTTGTGGTCAAAAA